TCATGAGATAAAGGCCGTTTAGGCCAAAATTTTCACTCTCGCAAATGAATTCCCCCCTAGCTCCACAGTGTTTTAAGTACATAAACCCAAGCTGAACCTACCCTTGTTTGAAAGCACTGAAACTAGTGAAAATGCTGGGCAATCTGGAATTTTAAAGAAATGCAAGGAACAGAATAATCTGAATCTCAGTGTTTCAAGTGAAAGAAGACTTACAACTCTGTGAGTAGCACAACTGTTTCAACACATGCCCAACGTCTACAACCGAGCGTTGTCACTGTTGCCTGCTAACGATGCTGCCTTCCTCCTGATGATACAGCTAAACGGGACGTCTGAACAAGCGAAAAAACACCCTGAGGTGAGCCGATAGCAGCACCGCTTCAGCTAGGCTATCTGGAGAAACATGAAGTGGGTGCTGAGCCACAAAGGGTGATATTATTAAGAGCTTGCAATGCAGAAGGGGTATTTACTCGGACGTTACCAAGAGCTTAGAATGCAGAAGGGTTATTCAGTGTGAGTTGGTGGGTCTGGTACAGCATGCATGCAGAGGCAGAGAGAAACAGCAGATTAACTCATGTTTTTATGTAGTCCTCTGGAAAAAGAACCCTTGATGGCTTTTGCAAACAGCTGCCAGACCACTAGGGAAGAAAGACGACTCACAGAAGACACTTTTTCTGTAGGGGAAAAACAATGCATATCGAAAAGTGGGAGATTTCAAAGTACTGCTTAGGGGAGAGGAAAGAAAAAGTCCAGAAATGCAAACCAGAAAGCACTGAACTGGCAACACGGCAGGATCTTTGTCCAACAGGGTGTAGGAAAGAGTTGTTCTTACACCAGCCAGCATTCGGAGCATGCCACATAGGCAGATGGTAAAGTTGGGGGCCACTGCTGGTATGCCCTACCACAGGAATACACAGCATTACTGTCGCCTGCACTGTATAACTTGATCAAAATGTAGTTTGAAACTTGCCATGAGAAAGAAGGTATGGAAAAAGTCACTGCTCCTAGCAAGCTATTTCTATTCACAATGAACACTGTCCCATGAAAGCACACATTTTTATAATCCACTTGTCTTTTACTCACAAGTTTCTTTCGCCATCAGAACACCTATCAGCTGCAGCACAGTTATCAATGTTACCGTTACCCATCTGAATATATAGAGACCATACACAAGAATTGCTTGAAGCAGCAGTTAATGTTAGCAGTGCTGATTTAAGCCAGTTGTGAGTTAATAGCAGACACACAAAAAAGCAGGGCTAATCTTGCACTAGTTCTGGACGCAAACCTTCCACCTCTGAAGTGCTTTTTATGGAGGAAAAAAAAAGAAACTGAAAGTCACTTGTTTAGTTTGTTTTTTTTTTTTTAATGAAGTGTTGCTGAAAATCATTAGCTGAACAACAGCATTTTCTAGTTACAATTTGAAGTAACACAAAGAAAATACAAATAATGGTATAAATAATATCAAGCAACAGCCTTTGCAGAAATTGCTTAAGGCAACGGCTACAACTGACACTATAAATTCTACTTTCATATCTACATATACAAATATATACATTCCATAAATACAACATCAGTTAAATTTTAGTGCACTGATGCGCTATTCAATATGGGATACCTCAGATTTTACTGTGGATTAGAAGCTTCTGTTTTCTCATACAACTCCAGAGCCATACAAGAAATTCAGTTATTGACATAACTTAGAGAGAAATTAATGTTCAGTGGCACTAACAGCAGGAAACTCACAAGCTGGTGTTTTGCCTTGCTTACCTACAACAGGGCGTTCTACATCAGCTGATCCTCTGTCACTCCTGCTGTAAATCTTAAACATAATGAGAAGGACTAGGGTTCTTATTTCAGCTTTTTCTCTGATTTCTCTACATTTTTAGACTAGTCTCAAACATTTGGTCCTTATGTTAACAGTAATTTTACAGCTAATTATAGAGATTATAATTTCTTGGAAAGTAGCAAATGGAACTATGATGCCAAATCTTCTCCATCTCTTCATGGGATGCCAGGAAAAACTAGATTCATTATTGATGTCAATTAATCTTCATCCTAAAATGTAAAGCGGGGGGGGGAGAAGGAAGAACAGGTCAGTCACAGGCACTCTCCCAAAGCTAGTCATGGTTTCAGCTGTCAAGAAAGGGAAAAGCTTTTTGAAATTTATTTAATACATTAAAAAACCCAAACACCTCTGATATAATAGTCTTTTAAAAAGCACTTAATAGAATACAGATTCTTCAACAAATACTATTATCAGATTATGAAAGCAGACTGTGGTTTGGTTTTTGGTTGGTTTTTTGGGTTTTGTGTTTTGTGAGGTTTTTTTACATATAATTACAAAATGTTCTCAGTTAAGTGACAAGTCGATTAAATGCATCCACTTTGTTTTTCAGGATTCTACGCACAAGGCTTTTCTTATGAAGTTTCCACTATCTGGTAAATCCTTGGGTTACATTCTGCAAAAGGATTAGTCTAACTGTATGGTGCTTACTCCACCAGCATCAATTGAGTTCAGTCTTATTACATCTTACTGTAACAGACTTCTAGCGCTGCTGTTAACACCAAATATTACAGACAGCATTTTTTGAGGACTGTGGATAATTTCCAAGAGATACCCACCTTTAGCTGGGTAAATGGTTCTAGCTGACCATTAGATTTCCATGGCAAGTGGGAAAATGAGGCATTTCCAGGCTTATTTCCTTTCTTAATGTTTGTGAGAGAGCACCAGTTGCACACACTCACTGCAGGTGAAATAGGTGGAAGGCTGTACCCATATTACACAAAGAGAAGATAAGAGTAAACCATCCTCCATTATTTAGGGTACTATATGAGACTCCTAGTCAGAGGACCTGGTGGCATCACTTCTGGGAGCCACCTCAACGTGGACAAAGACTGCAGGCATTAGAGTATCAAATGAGTATGAACTACAAACACTTCTGTTCATTTTCAACGGGAACTGCTAAACTTCAAACTCCAAAATAAAGGACTCCCAGAAATCCATCTAAGGCCAGAACATTTATAATATAGCATGATCTGTCATGTTATGGAAGCCACAGAACTTTGTCTAAGTAATGATTGTTGCTGGGAATCCTACATTTTGTAATGAACTACAGCATCTAGAGCAGGTTAGAAAGTTGCAGTTAGAGTCTCTAGCTCTGTGTCACACTTATGTTGGCTTGCAGGACAAACACAGAAAATAGTTTAAGATCATGGAGGCTGTAACATGCCTCCTGTCCCATCTGCATGAAGCACGCAAAACCTGTTAGAACATGGATGCCACTATTTGTGCCACAGAGCTGAGCCCAGGCTTGCCAAACACAATCCTGTAATGCCAGCTGCCAGCTAAGCCAGGAAGCAGGAGCCACTGTGATGAGGAACAGATGAAAACTTGTTGCTCCTCACAATGAGAAATTCTAACTCCTAATTTCCTCCATAGAAGAAAACTTAACTCCTGAGAAGTTTCTTCTTTGGTATGACAGAAAGTGAAACAGAGAGAGAGAGTGGAGGGAAGAGAGCAAGTGGGCTGTTTCTGGTAAGATCAGAGCTGCTTTTGTCACAGTACCTACTGCAGAGTGGAACTGTTCTGGTCATACATACCGTAACTCCTCCACATGTTTTCTACATCCCTGATTCAGAAAGACACTTAAGTATACACCTACCCTTTGAAATACGTTTAACTCAACATAGTTTACATTTGAAATTAGACTGTGTAAGTCTAATTCTAACCAAAAATAATATATTACACTTCTGGCATGATCATGTTACAAAATCCACCTGCAAGGTTCACAGAGTATAGTTCTGGACAGCTGGCCTAGCTTTTTTTTCCTCCATAGAATCCAGAAAAAGGACAAATGAGCATTCAACATAGACAAAAACCCCAAAACTTGTGGATTGGCTTTGTTGCTATCTTTCAGGACAAACTGCAGCTCAGAGCTTAAAATACAGGGGGGGATGGGGGGACATGGGGAGATAACACGGCGACACCCCTCACATCATCCCCATTTCTGCTTCAGTGTTATTTAACCTTCCATAACAGTTTTCTATGTCTATGCAACATTTCTAGTAATTGCTAACTAAGTACATGTGTGGAGGGTCTAGAGAATAAATTATATATTAATCCTTAAAGCATGGGTTTAGAGTGCTCAGAATGGAATTCTGTAAACAACTGTGCCGTACTCTGAAGTATGGCACTTTGTTCTTTTCAGTGCTTTCGACTAATCCTGGATGGAGATAATGCTAAACAGACCCAATTAGTTCAGCAAAAAGAAGGCAATATTGAGTCTAGCAAAGTCATTCATTATAGTATTTATTCTGTCAAACAAAGAAGAAAACATAAGATTAAAAAATGTTCCATGCATTTCATAAAATACAGAGAAAGACACTGTCACAAACAAAACAGAATAAGCAAGAAAAACCCCCACTAAAAATCCCGAGAGCTCCACTCTCCACATTGCATCATATGAACACAAAGGGCATATACAGGAGGAAGAGCGCTCTAAGGAAAGTGGCAGGTTATCTGTCAACATCTGGGATGAGTAGACCTGCCCTCAAGACTTTTCCCTCTTATCATAAAACCAAACTGATGCAACTTGTTTTTCTTGCTACCAGTTCTTGGCATTATCTTTGGCTCAGAAACCAGGACAGCACAGCAGAATTCATACTAAGTTGCAAGGATAGAAAGATACCAGGGCCCAAAGTGTAGGTAGATACAGAAAGGTAGCAGTGCACGATGGGTGGGAGGAGATGGCAGTTGTCCCACTGCTGGAAGCAAGGTGGAAGGCCGTGCTTCAGCTATCTTACTGGAAGCATGGGGTGTGGGAAATACGTCCTACAAAAGAAGTATGGGCAGAAGCAGGGAATATATCTAGTACCTCTCTAAGTGTCCCAATAACATTAGAGACATGCTGCATTATAAAAGGATGCTAAAAGCAACACCATTTAGGTTACAAATTACATTACTATAAACCCTCTTACTGAAAATTTTTGACCCAGTTCCTTCTCCTTGACCTACAGTACTCCATTTGCCTTTAGGAAAGCTCTTATGAGGTCCTCCTCTTGCTTTTGTTTTATAGAACCTCTCAGACTCCTACACAGTTACCAACCACATAACTACTGACCGCAAAGCCAGTCAAATTCTGGACTCTGACACACAAGCAGCCCCCACCTCTTACTGGGAATGCCCAAAAGCTGCCATAGCTGTATTTGGGGAGGGTGGTGTAGAGAAAGTAAGAACAAGGCTCCGCTTACACAAATGCCTATTAGGCCCCAAAACCCCACTCCATGCAGGCTTAGGAACACCACAATCAAAGAGTTTCATGTGGGGAGGAGCAAAGAGAAGACAGCAGACTGGGATTCTTCCCCCTGCACCCAGGGATGCATCCACTTCTCTGACAACAGCATTCTTCTGCTAGCTATCAAGCTATCTCTGCTGCAGTGCGGAAGGTTCTGCATTGGTCTCCTGCAAATGATGCACCATGGGGGAAGATTGTTACAGTTACAAATGTGGTTTTCACTCTGTTTCTTAAAACATAAAGCTAGGAATTCTTTTTTTTTTTTTTTTAATTTACAGTAAAGTGTAATTTAACCTGTAGCATGAAATTATTTCAAAATCAGAAGATGTGAGAGAGAGAATTGCCAATGCTACACCTTAACTCTGTTCCTTTGCATGTATGTATCAGGAATATGACTTCATATCATATGATCTTTTCACCTTTCAATCCCCAAAAGAACCTTATTTCATTCCCTGGACAAGCACAAATGAGGCAGAAAGAAGACTCCACAGGAAATCCCAAATCCAGCATTTCTCACTTCTGAGTGCTTGCAGCTAGAATAACATTTTCTTGATGGAGTTTTTAAAAGTCAATTATGTTTTATGTGCTCTGTTTACCTTGTATTAGGGAAACAGAAAATTCTGTAAAATTTTAAGGTCTCAGGTCTTCACAGGTCTCCACAGGCCTTGGTGAAACAAAAGATTTGAGCCTTTTAAAATAACTGCCCAGCTTCCTAGCTACTGTAATTTCCGTGTTATCCATGTAAACATTACACAGAGCCTTTGTACCACCCACTAAGCTCTTGGCTTCAATCAACTATTTGTGCCTAAAAGCACATCCTTATGTTTCTTCCTACACCACAGCCATCCTCCTACGCCACAAAAGACGTAACAAAATAGGAATTAATCATAGGCTGGATACTTACAGGGATTGCTGCCATTTGCTTCTGTCTTCCCAGCCTTGGCAAGTTTGGTTGAGTTCTGCTGTGCTTTGCCTTGCTCCTCTCCAGTTAGCAGGGCTTTTATTTCAGAGGGGATTTTCCCTTGGTCCATCGCCATGCACCACTGCTTGTACTGAAATACGCAAACATATTAGGCATTAGCAAACTGCCAGGATCACATTAGCAGACAACACAGAGCTGCAATCTTTACCTTCCGGTATATTCATTTAAGGTTGGAATTTACTGGGCTGAAGCCTCTTACAAAACTGCAGAGCACTAATGAGCTAAGCACGTGTCCATGGTTGCATACCTGGCCTCAGTAAATCCTGTGTCAGTCAATAAACTGCTACTCAGTGGCAGTACGACACAATACTGTAATTATTAAACAACATGGAACACTTTGTGCATTTTCTCGCTGCTAGCACGCCAGAATACCGTTCCAGTTCATGGCCTATTAAAAACAAATATTTCACATGACTCTGGGGCTGATTGACTATTAAGAGGTCCTTTCTGATTGTGAAAGGCACCATTACAACACATGTGCCTTATTCCTAGTTCCTTGATCTTAAATTCTTCATTGGCAAAAACCGAAGCACACTGCAAAACCTGTGGTAAGCTGGCTGACTTTCCACCCAATCCTAACCCTGTTCACTTACGGTGATTAGCCCTGCCTAGTCAAACAAACCTAATGCAAAGTCAAGGAAATATCCTCAGCTCCAATGAAATTTCAATGGCATCTCAATATCCCTGAGAAGCTCAGCTTGTACTTCCTGATGAAACATTCTCTTCAGTGAATGCAGCTTATTTGTCCAAGACACCCATCTTATACACACTAGAACACGGGACAGCTGTGCAACTATCTAAACAGAGAGTATGCTGCAAGAATCAACCTCCCCAACAGAGACAAAGGTCAGTGGGAAGCAATGACACACTGTAGATACATGTTCCCCCCTGATATTTTAACACATCTCTTTCCACCCTCTACCTCTGTCAGATGTTTTCCAAAACAAACATTTCAAAGACAACAGACTCCTGTGCAATGGCACTTTGCTGGCTTCCAGTTCAAAACCAGCAGATAACTTGCGACATGAGGTTCATATTCAACACACTAAGTAGGCAAACAGCTGAATGCATCTGTTGCTGATGTTTTGATACCTTACGGCTAGCCAAATCCCACTCTCAGTCACAGTGATTTCACAAACAAACGTCCATGAGGACAGGTCCCAAATAATATTTGGGGTTAGGTTAAATGATAGTTTCTTACCATTTCAAGCTCTTCTCTGAGAGCACAGATGGCTCGCTCTCTGCTTGAAACCAGCTCTTCCAGGTACTGGTACCTCAGCTTCTTCCTGGCTCTGCACTCTCTTGCACTCTGACGACTTCTTTCAAGTTTCGCCTTTAAGTCTATTTTGGCTGGTTTACGACCTCGCTTGCCTGGTTTTTTCACCTTGCCCCCAACCACCTGGAAAGGAACGTTACAGTAGAGATCCTGTTCTGCAAAGGTAATGCTGTAACCATGTCATTCTGCCTACTAGGTGTCTCAGGTAGAAAATCTTGTATGTACTTTCACTGATTCTGAAGCAACAGAGGAAATAAGGGACTGATCTATAAAGTTTTCAGTGATAGCATCAAAAACAAAAGGGAAGCATATGACTTCATAGTGAAGTCACTGATTAACCAGTCCTGTTGTGGATGCTGCTAATCTGATCTGGAGGAGCTCCACAGACTGGCTGAGGTTGGCAGGGACCTCTGGAGGTCATCTGGTCCAACCCCGCCCTGCTCAAGCAGGGCCACCTAGAGCTGGCTGCCCAGGACCATGTCCAGATGGCTTTTAAATATCTCCAAGGAGGGAGACTCCACAAGGCCTGTGGGCAACCTCTGCCAGTGCTCTATCACCCACACAGTAAAAAAGCATTTCTTGATATCCAGACAGAGCCTCCTGTGTTCCAGTTTGTACTCATTGCCTCTGGTCCTGGCATTGGGTACCACTGAAGACAGCGTGTCTCTGTCTTCTTTATACCCTCTCTTTTCAGGTATTTGTGTACACTGATGAGATCCCCTGAGCCTTCGTTTCTCCAGGCTAGATGGTCCCAGCCTTCTCAGCCTTTCTTCATAGGAGAAATGATCCAGTCCCTTCATCATCTTAGTGGCCTTTTGCTGGACTCTCTCCAGTGTCTCCATTTCTCTCTTGTACTGGGGAGCCCAGAACCAGACACATTACTTCAGATATCTAGGAGGATATCTAGGACATTGAAGAGACAGAGATGATGGTCAATTTGCAGTGAAACTGTTTAAATACCACCAGTAACGCCTGCCCTAACACTTGCCAGCTCTAGAAATATTATGTAATATAACACTTCAATTTGAAAGAAAAAAATTTATCAATTTAATCCAAAACTCAGTTTTGCTGCAATGAAATGACCACAGTTTCAGCCTACTCTAAAGATGAAGCTTGTCAGAATTACTCACTAACCATCTGAGTTTCCTCAGTCCCAATTTCTTTCAAAGGAATCTTCTGAGGATTTTTACTCAGCTACACTGAGTTCTACCTCTGTTGCCTCTATTCCAGTACCTAACCGCTCGACCAAGTTTACCTTCAAAACATTATTACACAGCCTGCAAAATTGTCTCCTCACACTTCCTCATGCAACCTATGCCAGTGTTCAACTCCCTCAGTGCCTAACTTGGATCTCCCTTGCAGAAACGTACCCCCCTAGTTTCTTGTCCTACTGAGTGCAGATTTCGCAGTTATTTTCCCCTCTTTGTGGCTCCTTTTTTACTGGTTTGAAAGCTTTTCTTGCTACAAATAAATTAAAAAAGGAGTAGTTTCCTCAGTGTTTACGCTTCCCCACCCAAATATTCTACTCTTAACATGAGAGCATGGCACATGAAACTCTTAAATATGGTCTGAACTTAGTACACTGGTCATTAGGTAGTATCACCCTGTAAGCATTACGTCAGCCACACACCCCACCTCCCCTCTGAAGTGAGGGCTTCTCTTTATTTGCATTCTGATCACATTGTTTGAATGGAGGGGGTGTGGAGAAACACTCCTAACACACACCTACATACAAGAATTTCTCTGCTGGCTTAGGGTTTCCCCATACTGTGTATAGACAGTACGTTTTTTAATAGGCAGTGTTCAAAATATCAGAGTTTATCATAAAAAAGGGCACTTTCTACTGTGTGATGCTACAAAGTAAGTCAGCTTTGACATTCAAAGAAGTCACTTGTTCTACAAACTTAGCAGGCTGCAATAAAAACAATAACATAGTGAACTGATGTGCTAGAATGAAGAAAAAAAAAGGATTATACAATTGAGCCTATTCTTTCTTTGGAAAGTGAGTCAACAATCACATGCCAACATAACCCTACTCTCTCCTTTATTCAGGAGTAGCTGCCTACCATAAGCAAATGGAGGAACAGAAAGTACTTAATGGACATCTTGTGATAATTAAACAAACATAATACATTCAGAAAAGCAAAGAAAAAGATCAATCTCTTTTACATTTGAACTACTGAATACAGTTTGAGTAACTCATTCACTCTACCAAGGTGGTTTCCTTAAGATCTTTCAGTTCAGATACTATATTCACCAAACTGGTATAAAACTAACCAGCCATGGCCAAGGGGGAAAGAAGCTCCAAAGAAAGGAAAGCAACTGTCCCCTTTTGGGTGTGGCAAGTACAGCTCTGAGCACTCATATTTATGTGAGGTGTGATTTATACTTGTAGCTCAGAAGGAGTTAGAAATACACATAGTCTTCCCAGTAGGGGCCGTAGGCACTCATAATTTCCTATCTATTACTACTTGCACTTGAAAGATTTCTGGGTATTACATTATACACCACAGCCAAAGTACTTCAGTTCTCAAAGACTTTCAACGTCTTCGGTTTTTCTGTGCCAATGCAAGGTAGTTTAAAGTAAATCTTTGAGTTCAAGAGCTAGATAAGGTCTTGTAGAGACATACACTCCAGCTCTCAAAAAAAAAAAAAAAAAACTTCGCCACTCTTTGAGCTCTGACCCTCTAGAAGAGCGGGCTAGCACTCGAGGTTGGAGTCCCAGCACACCACACACTGCTGTATGAACAAAATAGTAACTCAAGCCTTAGTCCTGTACGTGTCACGGCCATGCCCTTTCACCAGAACATCAGGCAGGTGATTAGTTGCTACCACGCTGTTTTGCACAACCAGCAAGTTAAAACTACTTGGAAATAGCATGCAACCTTTCCACAGCCAGCATCTTGGGCAGGCACCAGCACTGGAAAGCACTCACAAGCAGCACAGCTTCACAGCAGTTAAATCCACCCAGCAGCACAACCTCAAAACAATTTCTTTTTAAGGACCTGTTATTTTAAAGCATTTTGTGCATGCTTATATGTAGCTGATGCCTTTTTCAAGGAAGGGGTCACATCAACACAGAAAACATACAAAGGGAAAGGGAGAGTGGATTGTTATGCCAATAAGATACCAAGTGAGCTCATACAAACTCTTGAGTTTAAAGAGATGTTTTTATGGCCTGATCTAGATATGTGGACATAAAACAATTAAAGGCACATTGTAGTCTGCAAGGAAATTAGTGACCGGCATAGACTGCTTTGCACGTTGCAAAGGCATCCTGGATCCACCATTATCACTTAACTGCTTTCCCTTTAGTCACTCCAGAGAGCTTTCTAAAGATAGGTGTACTAATTGCTCGCTCTCCCTCAAGATCTTTTACCACTTTAGCAACCCTGTACAGAAGCTCTCTTGTGGGAGAAAAAAGGTTTGTACCTCTTGGGTCATTGCTTGCCAATGCTCCAGTCACCAGGACTGTGGAAATAATTAAAAGCTTCCTTCCCTTTTAACTCTGACTTTAAGCAGCAATAACGTAATAATCTGCCTTCATACCAGCCCAAAAGACTCGTACTGTGTTTGTGGTTCCTGAACTGGAGTTCACCATACAATTAGGCATCACCCTGCACTGCTAGTTTAGTAAGTGATATAATCAAAACCTGCATCCTTAGTAGCTTTTCCTCCCCAATATTTAGAAGATCCTGCTGTAACCTTAAAGCAACCCAGCTGGGGGAAAAAAGGCCTGATAAATCCTTTGCCACCATCCCACATTGCCATATCTTCCTGGCTTCGTCATGTTTGCCCACTCAGTTGCTATGCTGATGTGACAGAAAGAAGACAAAGCAGAAGTGATAGTTGATGTTGAATATGGCAGCAGACCAAGAAAAAACAAGCAAGCAAACATTTTTTCTTTATTCCCTTTGTATTCCTCTGCAGTTTATAAAGGGATGGGGTCTTAGCATTCAGCAGTAGGGATTTGGTTGCTTTTCAGGGAGTCATATGCAATCAATACCCAGAACAACATTAATTATAAAATTTGTCATAGAAATATTAAGAGTGACATGCATTCGTCAGAAACCTGACCAAGCTGTGACATCTGCAGGTTTTGGACAATTTGGCAGATTAAAACAACGTTACCCGAAGCACTGTTCAGCAGTGCTGATCACATTGAGCAGTTCAGTTATCTTCCAGCAGTTCACTGAAGACTTCAGAAAATAGAAAAACGTAAACTCCCCCCCCTTTTTAATACAGTACTTAGATCATAACATCATTCTTGACCTGGAATTGGAAATAGCTTCCGTTACTTGCTCCGACATAGAAAAATCCCTCCGATCTCTGAATTTTTTTATTTCCACCACCCTCTCTCCCCCAAAAAGGGAATTGAGAAGATCTGCACAGAAGTACTGCCAGACTGCATGATGAAGCAGCCCTCCTTTGGAAAGACATATATACATAATATGGCTACTAGCACTCACACCCCCAAGGAGCTGAGACACTTGGATAGAGAATTGTAATAAAGCTGGCCTCGCTGTGACATCTGCAGGTTTTGGACAATTTGGCAGATCAAAACAACGCTATCCGAAGCACTGTTCAGCAGTGCTGATCACGTTGAGCAGTTCAGTATCTTCCAGCACCTCTCAGTTCATTCACAGATAAACAAATAGCTCTTAAGTGCCAGTACTCGAGATCCAGCTCAGGAAATCATCTTAAGCTGACCCTTGTTTGTGTTAGTGAGGGCAGGTAGACGGCTGCAGAATCTGACTTAGCATGGAGCTGATGATCATCTACAGAATTTATATAAAACTATAAAAATAATTAGCAAGAAATAAAAACAAACCTAAGCACTGCATTCATTACAGTGGAGGCAGGAGGAACCTATTCACACTTGCAAACATTTTCTCAAAGTCAGTAATCAAATGAAGTTTGTCATAAGTCTAATAAAGATGAAGTTTTCTGATCTGCTAAGTCACAGCATACCACTCACAGTAGCAGTACAAAACTCAGCTAGAAAGTATGCTGGTTATTCCTCCATTGCATGACATTTTATACTCTTAACACAGATTATTTAGTTAACTTCCGCTGGCAGACAAAATGCATCCAATAATGATCCAAAAATATACTATTTATTG